GTTTGGTTTGGTTTGGTTTGGTTTGGTTTGGTTTGGTTTGGTTTGGTTTAATGAGGATATAACTCTTTAAGAAAATTGAATTTCTTGCCAGGCGATGGTGGCACACACATGTCTTTAATCCCACCACTCAGGAGACAGAGAAAGGTGGATCTCTGTGAGTTCAAGGCCAGCATGGTCTATAAGAACTAGTTCCAGGACAGGCTCCAAAACTACAAAGAAACCCTGTCTCAAAAAAAAAGAAAAAAGGAAAGAAAGAAAATTGATTTTTCTGTTCATTTTTTACTCTGCTTTCTTGCCAGATATAAAGATGAAAGTGACTATGCCTTACGTTATATGGAGAGCAGCTGGAAGGAGCAGCAGAAGGAGGAAGCCAAGAGGTGAGCGGGAGACTTGGTACACTATGTAATTTTATGTAAAAATGTCTGAAAGCTTGCAGCTGCGGGGTTTGGAATGGGGGCCAGACCACATGGTTCTCTGGATGACATTGCTCCTGGCTGGCTGTGAAAGCCGTAGACAAATTCCTTTGCCTTTCTAAGGTTTTCTCATTTGTAGGGATTAATATGTAGTCAAGGCGGTTGCAGTGTCTCATGTGTAATGTACACTGAAATCAGAGGCCTCTGAATCTGCCATGGACTCTGTTTTCTTGCCCATCAGACTTATCTCAGTCTTGGAACTTGTAATTTTGCTGCCTCAGGAACCTAGGGGCAGCAGATTAGATTCCCTCTACCTCTTTCTTGTGTAGCTGCCCAGTCATGAACTCCGAGAGTTTCTTGGGTAAGGATAATAAAGGATTACTTTGCTTGTAGTGTTAGTGGTTTCCTATTACAGAGAAATAATTCACCTCAGTCCCAACACAAAACAAACAGCTTTCTTTCTTTTGACCCTCCCTCCTGTAACTACATAAAATGTCAAAATAGGTATTAAGAAAGAAGAATTTGATTATTACTAATGAATGGATGTTTTCTGGGTTTTTGTACTGTGTATGTGTAGGTCAGTTATTTTTTCTTTATGTGGGTGCCAAGGACAAACTCAGATCATGAGTCTTCTTTATTTTTAAATGTTTTTAAAAAGGATAGAAAGATGACTTAGTGCTTAAGAAGGAGAACCTGCTTGCTCTTGTAGAGAACGTGAGTTCAGTTTTCAACACCCACATCAGCTGACTCAGTACTGCCTATGACTCCAGCTTCATAGAATCTGCCCAGTTCTGGCTTAGACAGGCGTCTGCATTCACATACACAGACCTACACCTTTTTTAAACTTAAAAGATAAACAGGATCTCTGTATGTAGTCCTGGCTGTCCTGGAACTCAGAGATTCACTGCCCAAGTGCTGGGATTGAAGGTGTACACCACCTTGCCTAACTTCACAATCTTTTTTTTTTTAATTTGAGATAAATTTATATTTTATTATTTTAAATGTGGATGTTAAGGCTTTTGTCATTTCTGTTGTAAAAATCTTTATTCTACATTTTGTGTCTGTAACCCCATTTTAAATTGTGTGTTGCATGTGTGTGTGTATATATGTGTATATAAATGTCTCCCTTTTACATGAGCAAACTCAGCAGCACAATCCACACGAAAGATACCAGTCTTGCTTTTTAAGGTTGTAATTTTGTGTGTATTAACAAATACCCTTTAAAACAATTTCTCCATAGTTTAAGACTAGGTATGCAAGAGGACTTAGAGGAAATGAGACGTGAAGAGGAAGAAATGAAACGTCGAAAGGCCAAGAAGCTGAAGCGACATTAGCTACTGCTGAATGTGTGAATCTGGGACCCTGCTGCAAGGATTCCTGCCTTCAGACTGAGCAAGTCCTTCCCCGTTTAGATGGACACCCGGGCACTCAGGAAGGAATGCCTACTGTCCTGCCATCTAAGTGTACAGTGCTCTCAAACAGTCCGGGGTGGGATCTGTAGTGCAGATGATACGATGCTTGCCGTGTGTGCTGATGACGGCTTTGATCATGACGAGCTATGCACGCTACTGTGGGCCATTACCAGTCAGCTGGTCTTTTATGTTCCTTTGCTACTTTAAAAGGAGGAAAAGATTGATGTGTGAGTGGGCACGACCCAGATCTCAGTCATACTTTGTCTTTAGGAAGGGCCTAGCACTTCTGTGAATGCTGCCAGCAATAAAGTGACCTGTCCCAGTCTATGTTTGAACTGAAAACCCAGGAAAAGAGTAGGCTTTATAATTATTACATGAATGTCACCCTTGTGACTTTGACATGCAAAATAGAATTATATTGTATTCAGCATTATTTGTGGATTGGATGCTAAGCATTCTTATTTATATGATTAGGTGATAAAATTTTTCTAAGTTAAAATATAAATTTTTCCAGAATAAGAAATATTCTTTTCCAGTTTTCCTTTCAGGCTTCCTGTCACATTGACCTTAGTATGAAGTAGATGAGGCCCTTACTATTCTGTTGATTGTTTTGTCTTCTTTTCTTTCTTCCTTTTATTAAAGAAAGATGGCTATTTGGATATTAGATTTGAAAGAGTAATGGTTTTAAAAAATCAACAAGTGACATGTGTTGTGCCCTCTGCTCTACTCCCCATTCAAAAAGATATTGTGGGACCCTAAGGTGCCCCTGTCCCTCTTGATGTTAATAACATTGCATTTGTAGCTTAAATTTCTTAGAAAATGTTAATGACCAAAAAACCAGAAACTTGGGTATTTAGTGTATCAAGAAGAGTACCGCCTTCTCCTTTGTCCATATTGCACTTTGATTTCTAACTATGCACTGTGGTGAAAGTTTTTCCTGTTGTTGGTGATTTAGTGAGCTGTGAAACTTCTGTCCTTCTCACAAGTCAGGCCTACAGACTTTATGTCACTTAAGCCTGGAGTCCATCCAGGCTGATCTAGGGTCTGGCTGGAAGGAAGCCATGTCTCAAGGATAGTCAGCAACAGAAAAAGAGATGGGATGCTAGAGACCTGAGGGTTGGAGGCAGTCAGAATTTGCTCTGTGGGGCAATTCCACAGTGAATCTGGCTTCTTCAGCTCTTAAGCCATGAGGGATGGGGTGCTGGAGAGGCTGGTCTACAAAGAGCTCTTGCTTTTCAACAGGTCCAGACTTTATGTCTTTTGTCTATGATGTCTTCATTCTTTAAGCTTGAATATTATGAGTGATCATTTTTAGCCTTCCTTTGTGGGACCATTTGACCCAGTCCTTAAAACTTACTAGTTTTGAATTGAGTTTCAAATCAATTCAAAAGTGCAAGGATTAAATTTTAGAGGGTATATGACATCCTAACTCACCATGTAGATTTGGTTTTTTGGCTTTGTTGTTGTTGGGGTTTTTTGTGGGGGGGGGGGGCGGGTGTTCAAGACAGGGTTTCTCTGTGGAGCTTTGGAGCCTGTCCTGGCACTAGCTCTTGTAGACCAGGCTGGCCTCGAACTCACAAAGATCTGCCCACCTCTGCCTCCCGAGTGCTGGGATTAAAGGCGTGTGCCACCAGCACCCTATCCCACTGTTAAAGCGAGTATGATATTCTTCTTGGAACGTTATTTTACTTGCTGTCACGTGTGTGCTTTCCCCTCCATGATTTTTCTTGGATCACCTTTCCATATTCATACTCTGGAAGCTATAACTGCAGTCCAGGTTTCTGGTGACTGAAAGCACTGCACTCAGTCACAGGGTGCAGCTGTTTGCACAGAAAGGAGCCATTACGCTAAAGTTTCAAAGCTTGGTAAAGAGTCAGGTTGTGATGTCTGTCGTGTCTGAATGCATTTCTGTTAACAGATATGCATCGACTTTTATGTTGAAAAAACACAGGAAAGAAAGACTGTAAGTCCAAATTGTGTCTTCCATTTTGCTCTTCTGTATTTCCTGACCACTGAGAAAAGCTTACAAAGCCTGGGAGGAGACAGAAGCAGGCTATTCTTTTTTCAAGGTTTACAAATTAAGTGCTTGATTTTTAATGTATGCTCTCTACTGTCTTGATTTTCAGATTTGATTCACTATTTGAAGATGTGCCTTTTATTGGGTGATGTTAATTCTCGAATGTAGTAATGTTCCACAATTGTAATGTTACATGATCATGGGTGTGGCATTCTCTAACAAATTATGTGACAAGAAAGTAGTTTTCATAAAACTTGTGACTCTGATTGCACAGTCCCACTTGCTAAAGCAAAGGGCACTTTGTTTTAAGGCTACTTCAGAACTGGTCTTTGTACTTTCTCTGTGCAATGGACGCAGGCATGTCCATGTAGAGGCAGGGTACCACATGTCACAGGCAGCCCTGTGTGTGTGCCATGAGAAAGTTCAAAGACTTAACACAAAGTCTAAGGGAACACGGAATTTCATTTTTGTAATGGTAACCCCAAGATTTTCTCCAAGAAATAAATTATTTTGTATTTTATAACTTAGAAGCAGCTAGCAGTACATTTCTGAGATATAGCAGAAGACCAAAACATTTTGGAAAGAGAATAAATATATGCAGAGAGATTGGTTGTTTTATTTTCAGTGTGCTGATTAGACTATTTATTTTGTGAGTGGATGTGATGAAATACATATTCAGGTGTTTAGTGTATGATTAAGAGTGAAATATAGATTTCTTTGGAGTTATTAAATCCATGATGTCTTTTACATAATGGACAAATCAAATGTAAAAGAAGAAAACTTGGACATAGCTTAGCTTGTTTTCTGGTGCTGTTGACCTGCAGAAGAATATACTTTTGCATATACAGGTGAATGTTTTGCAATTTATGTATACAAGAAATTGTAGGCATTAAAATATTTTATTGATATTTTACTGGTTTTCATTCATTGATCAAAACTTGAAGCTACTCCTTATCACCTGGAACATTGTGTTAGCTGGAAACCTCTGTAGACTTGTTAGGGCCAGAGATCAGGCATGTCCCTTGTACCCTTGTGACTGTTCAAGCTACACTGATTTCTCTTCCACCACCACCTAGAGGACATCAAGTTAAACTGGAAATGTGCGCGGGGCAGTGGTGACAGGTGCCTTTAATCCCAGCACGTGGGAGGCAGAGGCAGGAGGATCTCAGTGAGTTCGAAGCCAGCCTAGTCTACAAAGTGAGTTCCAGGACACGCAGGGCTACACAAAGAACCCTGTTTCGAGAAAAAATAAAACAAGCATGACAAGTGAGAACTGGAGAGGTTGCCCAGTGGTTAAGAGCACTTGTTGCTCTTGCAAAGGATTCATAAATTTTAAAAAGTAACTGAAAGTGGTTAGAGCAATGAGATCTAGTTTTGTGGCTCAGGGCTTTGAAGGTTTATTGAAATGGAAGAGAAACAGCAGAGCTGTATGTGATTTTCTCTTGTCAGAATTATCAGGTTCAAATCCCCTGTAACAAATGAGCTTGAGGAGCTGGAGAATGGCTCAGTGGTTAGAGTACTCAGGGTACAGCCATGAAGATGGGAGTGACATATAGCACACACAACAAAATAAGTACCCCACACCCACTTGTAAGCCCAGCTCCAAGAGTGGCAGAGACAGGATTACTAGGGCTTCCAGCCTTGCCTGGAAGGAATAGGCAGAGTGATAAAGGATACCCGATACCTTCTGACCTCCCTCAGTACATGCGCTCACAGAGACACACATGGACGATGGATGTGCCCTCAGTGACGCACATGAGGTGAGGAGGGAGACTATTTAACGACCCACTGCAATGTGCTGGGTTGAGGTCATGGGAGAACAGGAAATACTAATAGTGTCTAGTTCCAAATTCCTCAGTACTGCATTTGCATTTTGGATTCATTTTCCTTTCCCTAGGAAAGATAATCTTACAGTCCAGGAGGTGGATTGATGTGTAAAGTGCTTGCCACACAAATGAGTCTGCGATCAGAGTTGCGGGTCCCCCATAAAAGGGGGGCATGGTGGCATACATCTGTAACTCCAGCACTTGGCAGCGCAGAGATGGGTGGATTCCCATGGCTCGCTGGCCGGCCAGTCTAATCAAAGTGGCAAATAACAGGTTCAGTGGGAGACTGTCTCAAAAACTAGGCTGGAGGATGCTAGAAGACACCAGACACTGACCTTTGGTCTCCATGCAGGTGAGCTCACAAACACAGTAACTGCTGCTGTAGAATCTCTTAACAAATGGTAAGAGTAAGTGTTTTCTGTGTAAACGACAGGAATGCTTTGCTGGGTACGTCTGTTCTCTTGAACAGTGGAACCATCAGTCACTGAAATACTTCTCCCCACCACCACCTCCCTCATCTCAGTTTTAGAGGGCTTAAGATATCGAAGCTCAGACTCCTGATTTATTAACTGCTTATTTTATGCTTAGGCTCCTAGCCCTGGACTTAAATTGACTGCATTCAATGTTGAGAGCTGCAGTTAGGTTTTGTTTATACGTATGTTGTCTTTAAAAAGGATCATCAGAAGTCTGAAGAGGTGGCTTGGCTTAAGAGCACAAACTACCCAAAAGCTCCTGGGGAGGACCTGAGCCCATTCCCTGCACCCGCATTGGCAGCTCACAATCACCTATAACTCACTCACTCCAGGAGAAACAGAGGCATCTGGCCTCTAAGGGCACTTGCATTCCAATGCAGACCTACACATACACCTACCTATAATTAAAAATAATTTTAAAAATCTTTTAAAAGGATCATTAGATAACTCCTTTGCTTTTAGGGTGAGGGAGATACTTAGCAAGACCGTGCTTTGACCGTTGCCTTAGCGCACAACACATAGGTGTTCCTGGAAGAAGCCTGCATCTACATCTCTGCTGTGTCCAGGTCTGTGCTGGCAAGATACTGAGCCTCTTCTCTTCGGTCACTTCAAGTGAGGCCAAGACCCAACTTCAGCAGGTCTGGATGAGGATTAGATACCACCTAGCATCTCCCCTCTGTATTTAAATGAGCCCCCATGGGATAATTTTTACTTTTGGACTCTGGATTTGGGATATAGTATTTGGGAAGTGGGTCTAAAATTCATTACTTATGATTACCCAAGAGGGGACAATTTAAACGAGGTGTCTCAGCCTTAGAGGCTTTGACAAATAGGACCTGACCGTCACCCACTCACTCCCACCTACCAATTCACCCTCTGTCTCTGTTAGGAGAAGGTTGTCTTTGTTCATCTTAGAAAGTGTGGTAACTACACAGAATATGACAAAATAATGTGCGATTACTTTATGTGAAGCCTACAACAGGAGCTGGGCAGTTGGGTGTTCTTCACAGCTGCATGGCTTCACCAGGGTCATCTTTGTTTATTTCCAAGGGGGTCTGGGAGGGAAGAAAAAGCATATGTCAGAAGACTCTAGCATTGCTAGGCTAGGCTGTAGGGCTGAGGCAGGTGCCAAGAACTGAAAGAGGAGGCTGCCTCATCCTGTTACCCAAAGCATTTTATGCCTGCTACCAAAAAGTGCCCAGCGCAGCGGGAACTGACAGTGCAGAGATGTCTGCCACCAGAACCCCACCTGGGGTTGGTGGGCTGATGTAGGAAACAACATTGAAGACTAAACACTTTTTTAAAATGCCCTTTTTTAAAGATTTTATTTATTAAGTATACAGTGTTCTGCCAGAAGAGGCACCAGATCCCATTATAGATGGCTGTGAACCACCATGTGGTTGCTGGGAATTGAACTCAGGACCTCTGGAAGAACAGCCAGTGCTCTTAACCTCTGAGCCATCTCTCCAGCCCCAGAGACATTTTTAAACATTTTGTCTGCATCGCAGACATTAGCTTTGAACTGCCAATCTTTTAAAAAATAAAGTATGTGTACGAAAACACCTGAGAAACTGAGGTGTAGTTCACATGGTAGGTACCCACATGCAGGAGGCCCTGGCTCTCACCCACAGTACTACATAAGCTCAGCAGTCAGGAGGTGGAGACGGAAGGACCAAGGCAATCTTGGCTGTATTGCTAGCTCCAGACCATCCTAGGCTGAGTGAGACATCTGCTCTTTAGAAGTACATTCTAGGAACCTGGAAAGCTCCCCGTTCTAAGCAGAGTGGCTAACAGTACAAGCAGGCACGTCCCAACAACTTTTCCTCAAATATTAAAGAGAATGTTTCTAAAGTTATTCGGACTAGATTTTCATGCTTTCCGTGTTAATGCTAGGGACTGTTTAACAGTAGAGAAGTCAAAGGTACACTTACCCCTCCTGGGGGATATTTATATCCCTTCCACATCGTTCCTGCAATGAGAACCATCCATAAGACTACGATCATCGTGGGCCTTCTTGGCTGCTGCAGGCGGGGAGCGGTTGCTGGAAGGCCCGGTTCTATTCGCAGGATCCTGGGACTCTGTCTGGCTTCATTCCAGACCAGATGGTGGCTGGCCCGGCATGGCAGTTCCTGACTCTTGAACTTTGTGGTCTGTCTAAACTAAAATGGCCATTTTGGGAGGTAAAGCTCAGGCACCAATTATGACATCAGTCCCTGTGACACCGGGCCTCCAGGGTGAGAGCGTCAATAGGTTGGCCAGGACAGGTACTTTAGGATGAAAGAAACCTTAGAAGGGAGCTATTCTCAGACCTCTGTTTAGAACCTTAATAAGCCATTACATAACATACACATTGGCTTAAACGAATCAAAGGCAGAAAAAGACTTCTGTAACAAAAACCACTGAACTTATTAGGGGAATGAATAAAACTAGGTAGACAACAGCTTTATTTATTTATAAGGCTATTATTAAGCCACCTAAAGAAGTCTCATATTTTGTAAAATGGCAATCCAGCCCTCATGCCAGCTAAATCTCCTAGTACCTCCCTGGGAAAGGAACAGAAGGAAGATATCGGCTGCTTACGGCGCTCCTTCACAAGCACAAAATGACTTCTGTGGCTTAGAGTCACCTTCTGTGGCAGTGGCTTGACTGAACAACTGTCACTTCTCTCACACCCAAACAGTGTGGTCGCTTTGAACCAGTGGGTTGAGGGAGAACAGAAGGCCAGCTATCGTCTCCTGCTCTTACTGTACTTGGGGCTAGGGCTACCATCCCTTGCCTTCTGGAGTAGTTTTCCCCACAAATCCTTCTGCTCTCGAGTCAGCAAATTAAGACTACCAAGAGAAGCCGCATGGTGGTGGCACATGCCTGTAATCCCAGCACTCACTAGGCAGAGGCAGGTCTCTGTGAGTTCAAGGCCAGCCTGGTCTACAAAGTCAGTTCCAGGACAACCAGGGCTACAGAGCAACTGTCTTCGCAAACAAAAAGACTACCAAGAGTCAACTTCCTCTAGCAATGCTAACTCCTCTGAAATGGGTGAACTGGCAGAAGTCCAGGAGAGGGCCTCCAGAAAGGGGGTCTCCCTGTTTGCAGTGGAAGGAGTGTGAGGTGTTTGGAGGTTCAGTTTGCACCCCCACAACGAGCTGCTTGTGTGTACCCAAGGCCACCATCATCTATAAATGCTTGCTAATAGGGTCTCATTTCACTTCGTCAAATCTGTAGTTTACTAATTTTCAGGGTTTGCATTGGAGACCTTACATGGATTCCCAAATGTGATATTCACAAAAAATAGTAAAAGGCCGAAATATTTCCCATTGTGCCAATGAATGAACTGATGTTCAGAGGATTTAAACCTCCCCAGTTCATGCAGTAAGTTGCAAAGTTGGGTCTTGATCTCAGGTTTCTGTTAACTCCAGCTTCCCAGTTCTCTAGAAGGGGCATTAGAAGTACTCGTCTGGAAATGGTCCATACAAGGACTCCTGACAACCGTGTGACAAAGTCAATGGAAAGAAAGCATGAACCTTTTTATTAATGGCCATATTAAGAGTGGGCTTATGCCTCCAAAATGTCTCAGTGCCCAAGCTCAGGTGTGCAATGTTTTTAAAGATAAAAGCCACAGTGACATCAGTGGGGGGTGGTCACAGCCGTGAAGGATTTGGAGTGACCTAGTAACATCTGTTCTCTTGCAAAACTCGGCATGTTTTCAAGATACCACATGGCATTAGCTTTGACTTACGCTTCCTTTCAGTTATTTTAGCTTTGTGTTTGAGCGTGGACAAACATTAATGTTTCTAGTTAATATGTCTGGGCCGTGGTCAGGGTGTTGCCAGATACGGCTGTTATGAAGGGGTAGAAGGCTGAGAAGTGTCTAAGCGTGCACAAAATGAGATGGCAGTGCCTCAGTCATTTCAGTCTGAGCCGTGCGTGGTGGCCCATGACTGCAACCCCAGCACTCAGGAGGCAGAGGCAGGGGGATCTCTGTGTTCGAGCGTGAGGTCGGCCTGGTTTCCTTAGTGGGCTCCTGGGGTACACAGTGAGTCCTTATCTCAAAAAAGAAGAGAAAACAGGATCTATTTAGGAAGAGAAAGGAGATGAGGGAGGAAAACGAGAATAGAGAAGAGGGGTACTGAGATCAAAGTCGGCTATACACATGGATATACATGGATATACCCTTTTAATATATGTATGTAGGATAAAATATATAATTAACATACGCTAGTATAATATAGTGTTTGTGAAATAATGGACTAAGACATGGAATTTGCTCAGAAGGAACCCTGGGAGGCATGGTTAATTACAGACAGCTGGTTCTCAGCCTACTTTCCCCAGCAGTACCCCCCCCTCCAGTCCTCTCCCCTAATACACATCTAAAGCCATCCCCTCCACAGTTGGCCTGTTTCCGGGAAGGGTGTTGGACATTCTATGGACAGGGACCCAGCCCGACAGACCTGATCTCACAGCAGCAGCTGCAGCTCATCCTCCAAAGCTTGGCTTCTTCGCCGTGCCTTGGTCTCCCAAACAGGCAACCCCTCTTTCCACTTTAGAGTCGGAGGCTGAGTCATAAAAGAAAATTAGAGGTAGACGGTAGACACAGCCCCACTCATTGACCCCATGGAAAGTCAGTGTTTCTGTGTGGTGAACGGAGGAGCCGGTTCGGGAATGCCTCATCCCATTGTCCCTAATAGAAACTCCTCATCTCCTTGGCTTGAAACTCTGAAGTTAGGCACTGTGACCAGCAGAACTGTTTAAAAAAAAATGTCAGAATGCCTGGATACAAGTGACATTATCAAAGCAGGTGGAGGGGCATTAAACCCTCCAAAAAAGGGTGCCCCAAAGGGATGAGATGTTCCTGTCACATACTGACTTCCAGTTGGTAAAAACCTCAACGACTTTCCCTGTTTGGTCAGAAATCCCAGACAGGAGCATAAAGCCAAGCCCGGAGTAGCTGGGATGCAAGGCTGGTGCTTACCATCACCTCTGGAAATGTCCCCATGTAGGATGCAAGCCCAACAAAAAGCATCCAGCCCAGCACGATCATCACCAAAAGAAAATAATTTCTGAGCTACAATCACACAGTGAGAGACTGTTCGCCAAGATCTTGGCAAAGGCGCGAACTCATGAAACCTTCAGCTGATAGACGTGTCACACGCTCGTTCCATTCCTTGATTCCAAAGGATCTGAGACTCTCTGAAGTTGGAGTCTGGGAAGGCATTGTGACATCATTGGTCATGTGGCTTGGGTTTGACATGCTAGCGATACTTCCCCCAGACAGTACCCCAGCCCTGTAAGTTCTTCGTGTTCTTTCCTGTATAACACTGCCACAAGGTAGGTACCATCCCTATAACCCCATTTCACTAGTGAGAAAAATCAAAGTTCAGAAAGCCCAGATGCCTTCCACTAGGGGGCACCAGGGCACACACTAACGTGAGAACAGGTTTGAAAGGGCGTGCCACTACAACAGCTGACAACGAAACAAACTGGGGTCTAGGGAAGGGACACATCTATTTTGTTTTATTTTACTTTATTCTGAGACAGGGTCTCACGTATTCCAGGCTGGCCTCAAACTTGCTATTTAGCCAACACTGTCCTTGGACCCCTAATCCATCTCTTCCATCTACTTCTATTTTGTGCTTACAGGACCTCTCTTCCTATCTTTAAGATGGGATCCCTTTAAGAGGAGGGATACTCCCCCAAATCACTTGGTACTTACATTCTTCACCCATGGTCAGTTCTCCACTGGTCCTCTTTTTTGGTTATCAAAAGCCAGAGGAATCCCTGACCTTTTCTCAAAAAAGCCTCCAGTTGACACAACCGTTCTCTTCCCAAGTGTCCTGTGGTCGATTTCCTTTTATGATCAAACTTCCTAGATGAGTGTCCCACCCCCAAGTCCCCCCTTTACAGTCTACACCTTTCCCCATGTGTCCCGTTCTGATCTAGTCCCTAGTTTGGAATGTAGATTCTCTCTCAGACACCATCGAAGACCTCACTTTTGACAAGTAGAGCAACACATTTTGTTATGTCTGACCGTCACGCACCCGTGTTCTTCTACATACATGCAACTCCATATGTATAAATGGTCTTCTTGTGTCGTTCTGCTAAAGATGACCATACTTCGTGCATGACTGAAAAACTTGCTCCTCCCCCCCAAACAAGACACCCAAGTCATTAAAATGAGTCTTACAAACCACATGTGGTACATGCAATCCCCCAGCACTAGGGAGGTTAAGGCAGGATGATTGATGAGTTTAAACCAGCATGGTTACTTAGTAAATTTCCTTCCAGTCAGAGCTCCCTAGCAAGACCATCTCAAAATAAACAAAACCTACACTTTAAAAAAAAAAAACAACAACAACAACAACAAAAAAAACCCCACAGTTTTGTTTAGCTCTGGTTGCCCTGAAACTCACAGAGATCCGTCTGCCTATGCCTTCTGAGTTCTGGGATTAAAGGCACGCATTATCATGTCTAGCTTTCTAGTCTAGCTTTCTTCTTTTTGTTTTTATTTTTCTTCTTTTGTTTTGCTTTATTGAGACAAGGTTTCTCTGCGTGCCCTGGCTGTCCTGGAACTCACTCAGTAGATTAGACTGGCTTTTAACTCCAGAGATCTGCCTGCCTCTGCCTCCCAAGTGCTGGGATTAAAGGCATGCACCACCACCACCACCCAGCGTTTTTCTTTTATTTTTCTTAATGAGAATTCTTACTGAAGTATAATCTACGTATGATAAAACTTATTCTTCCTTTTTAGTGTAGAGGAAAAACCTGCGACTGAGTGAATGACTGGAAGCATCACTCCAGCCCCTGGCCTGAGAGTTGCGTTGGTCTGGACTCCAACTCCCAGCCTGCCAAGCCTTCACTCCTCCCCAGGGAGGGTCAGGACCACTCCCACAGCTTTTTAGGCGGGGGGGGGGGGGGGGGGTGTAAATTACTTGGTCTCTAGGGTGTGTGTGGGCTCCTCTTCTTGCCATGCTGTCCTCGTCCACCTGAGAGTGCTGCATTTATTAAACATGGGCATTTTAATTTGGTCTAATCTGATTAATTGGAGTTATTTGCGTCGGTGGAGTAGCTTTTCTTTTTTTTTTTTTTGGTTTTTCGAGACAGGATTTCTCTGTAGCTTTATTATTTTTTTTTTCTTTTGGTTTGTTTTCAAGACAGGGTTTCTCTGTAGCTGTGAAGCCTGTCCTGGAATTAGCTCTTGTAGACCAGGCTGGCCTCGAACTCACAAAGATCCTCCTGCCTCTGCCTCCCGAGTGCTGGGATTAAAGGCGTGCGCCACCACCACCCGGCCTGGAGCAGCTTTTCTTAAGATTAAACCAAACACTGAGTTTTGAAAAATACCCACCACCATCAAAAAGGAAGTGTTTCTGGGCACCTCTAAGAACTGTGCCCTCAGCCGCTGGGTTCTCGAGACCAACCATTTGTGCATTTTTGTATTTTCTTTTTTAACTTTTATATTCTATTCTACTTAATGTGCATGACTTTTTGTCTACATGTCTGTCTATATACCACTTGAATGCCTGGTGTCTACAAAGGCTGGCAGAAAGCTTTGCGCCCCCTGTAACTGCATTTACAGACAGTTGTGAACACCATATTGGTGCTAGAAATTGAACTTTTTTGTTTGTTTGGTTTTTATTTTTCTATGTATGTATGTATGTATGTATTTCTTTATTTTGAGACAAGGTTTCTCTGTACAGTCTTGGCTTTCCAGGAACTCCCTCTATAGACCAGGCTGGCCTCAAACTCACAGAGATCCACCTGCCTCTGCTCCCCAAGTGCTGGGATTACCGGCATTTGCCACCACCTTTATTATTATATCTTTCATTTTCTCCAGATAATTTTTATGTTTTATTTTTCTTTATGTTATTTGTATGTCGCAAATATTTCAGCCTGGGTGTGTGGGTTTACACGGGTCTGAGAAATGAAAACTCAGAGACATTGAGAAAGAATTTAGCGTTTGCAACTGCAGGGGTTCAGTCTCGGTGAACTGAAGCACCTTTCCTTCTCTCAGCATCTTTTTTTTTCTATATTTACACTTTAGCTAGTACATTCTCATATCTCAAAACTAATAGAAACTTCCAACAATGCAATGCCAGGTGCAAATACCTGATTCATGAGGTACCAAGGTTTTCCGGTTCCTCTAAATCAAGTTTTGCATAGGTTTTGTGTCCATGGGAAACTCTCAGTCAAGATTCACAGGGGCAACAAGAGGTATTTGTAACACAAAGGAAGGCCTAGGGGCTGTGTCAGATGTAACCCAGTGGGGTTCTGTGGCTAGTGGAGGTTGCTTGCTATCCCTCTGGTGCCAGACCAGCGGGACATTATACCGCACACGTGTGGGTGTTTTGCCTGTTTGTATGTCTGTATGTCTGTGCACCCTTGCATGCAGTGCCTGTGGAGGCCAGGTAAGGACATGTGATCTGGGGAACTCGAGTGTCAGAGGGTTGTGAGCGCTGGAAATCCACCATCTTGTTTTTGAGGCAGTTCTCTCACTGCGTTCCCAGAGCTCCAAGAACCCATCTGCTTCCACCTCCCCGGTACTGGTATTACAAGATCAAATTGGCAAGCCTGGCTGTTTGAAGTGGGGTTCTAGGGAATAAAGCCGGTTTCTTAGTGCTTGTTCAGCAAGCACTTAGCTGACTGGACTCTCCCCAGCCTCCACTCTTGAGTGCTTTCATTTCTGTAAGACAGGCCCCTTTGCCCCCCCCACTCCAAAAACAGGGTCCCACTGTGGCTGACCTGAAACTCACAGAAATCTTCCTGCCTCTGCCTCCTGAATGCAGGGATTAAAGACATGCACCACTATGTCCAATTTGTAAAACAGACTTAAAAGTGGGGTTTGGGGATCAAAAGCATGTCAGATTACTGGGGCTGGAGAGACGACTCGGCACTGGCTGCCCTTCCAGAAGACCTGGGTTTGATTCCTAACATTCACTGTAACTAATTCATTGCTTTCATCTCTGCAATGTTAGTAGTCTATGGGATGTCTCCGTCCAACAGAAGAATGAACTGATCTAGCTCAGAGCCATAGGGCAAATCCTGTCAATACTGAGCTTAGTTATATAATAAACAACTCTGTGTGTGTGTGTGTGTAGAAGGCCGCAGCCACATCCTCCATCATCAAGATGGCGCTGACATCCGGCTTCACCGCCAGGTGAACGCACATGTGCTCGGAATTTCCCACTGAGTCCCCGCCTACTCCCGAGGCATTCACCTGGGATTATGGACAATTGACCAATCCAAGAGTGACACGTCCGAAGCAGGGTCTGTTTCCTTTATAAGGGATGGGTTCCATCTTATCTGGGTCTCCGCCATGTTGGCTGATGCCCGCTCTCCCAAGGGGCATTAAAGCTTTACTGCAGAAGTATCCTATGTGTCCCGCGTGGATCTTGCGGGCGAGACGGTAGCGCGGGACATGTGTGTGTGTGTGTGTGTGTGTGTGTGTGTGTGTGTGTATCAAGATGCATATATGTCATATGTCAGGGATTGCTGTTTTCTTTCTCAGGCCATTAGTAAGAAAGAGATACACCTGCCTCTGCCTCCTGAGTGCTGGGATTAAAGGCATGCAACACTACCACCCAGCTTTCTTTTGACTTTTTTTTTTTTTTAAGGATCTGCTACCCAGCTCCCAAATAAATCACACACAGAGGTTTATTCTTAGTTATGAATGTGTGGTCTAAGCTTGGCTTGTTTCTTGCCAGCTTTTCTTAACTTTTTAAAATTGTTCTGACTACCTTTTGCCTCTGGGCTTTTATCTTTCTCTATTTCTGTATACCTTTCTTTCCTTCTTATGCCGTGACTGGCTGGGTGGCTGACCTGAGATCCTCCTCTCCTTGTTCTCTGCTCCTCATTCTCTCTCCTTCCCAGACTCCTCCTTCAGTTTATCCTCTCTGCCTGCTAGCCCTGCCTATCCTTACTCCTGCCTCACTTTTGGCCATTCATCTCTTTATTAGAACCATCAGGTGTTCTAGACAGGCACAGTAACACAACTTCACAGCATAAACAAAAGTCACATACCTGAGAATAATATTCCCCAACATATGTGTGTCTGTGCTCATGAGTGCAGGTGTCCTGGGAGGCCAGATGTGTCCCACAGGCCTGGAGCCAGAGTTACAATTAACTGCCGAGTTATCTCTCCAGCCTCAGGAATTGGCATTTCCAGCAAGTTACTGTGAGTACACTATATCAGAAACAAAGATGGATTTTGCTAGCTATGAAGCTGAAGGAACCTCAGCCCCAGGACTCTACCTCAGGTGCAGCAGGGATTTTGACTCCTGCCGCACAAAAAGACTTTCAGGAGAAGTTAGAATAAAAAAGGCAGTTTATTAGGCAAAAATACAAACCACAAAATGATGTGGTTTAAGGAGGGTGGTCTATAAGACTAATTCTTAAATATGGTGGTATGATTTCCTCATAGGATTCTTCTATGGTAAGTGATATTATAAGGGGATTTATGAGGTGTAATGTGTAGGCATGGATCAAAAGAATGAAAGCCATTTTGCTATGTATAGGTTTCACAAGGTTGATGTGTTACTAGCCATTTTAATAATCCTGTGACACTTTCAGGAAAAACAACTTCATTTCTGTGTAGTTGATTTTCTGGCCCATGGGGGCCAGAAGAAGGCAACGGGGTCATAGACGGTTGGCATGTGGGTGCTGAAATCGAATTCATGTCCTCTGGAGGAGCCCCAAGGGCTCTTGTCAAAATTCTTGACTCTTAGTAGAACTTAATCAGATCCAGATAAATGAGGGGACTTTTCCCCTTACCCACGTCGTCTTGGCCTTTCGGTCTTTTTTATCATCGGCCTCACTAGCTCAGTTATCTGACGAGACTCCACTAGATTTCTCCCCATCTACCCCTATCTACTCCTAAACTTTGATTTTGAACATCCAAATCCAGCTACAGTTTTTGGTTTTGATCGTCCGTCCCCTCCGCGCCTCACCGCTCGCATTCTGGGCTGAAATCAAGTCTTCCTGGAATTTGCTTGCACCTGTTTGCTCATGAGTTCTTCCTAGCTAAGTTTCCCACAGCAAGCCGAAATGTTTTTCCGCCTGGCAGGGCGCTGCGGTCTCCGGAGCTCCGGGTTGTTTTCCATCTCCGGCTTTTGGGCTCAGAACCCGCCGGAGTCGGCTGACTGGAAGGAGGGCTCGGGGTTCCGGTGAACGCCCGGCTCCGAGCACCGCCCAGGCGTGCGTCCTGCGGGAATCGGCCAACTGGAGGTGGGGGGGGGGGGGGAAACCGTCCTCTGCGAACGTTTGGGCCTCGGCGGCCTCCGTCCGCAGCAGGTTCGGGAGTAGGCGCGGCCGGTGCTGCAGAGGACCGCGACTCTGCCGGCCATGGAGTTCGACTGTGAGGCCGTGAGGCGGCTGCTGGGCAAGGTGCGGGCGGGCGGCGGGCCGGGCGGGACCCAGCGTCCTCCTCATCTCGCGCTGCCCCAGCTCACACTCTTCCTCGACGCCCCCCAACCCTCACCCATCTCCTTTTTTTCCCCCCAAAATCGTTGTGTTGCTTTGACACATCGACTCATGCTGTTGCCCAGGCTGGCTGGCTGGCTGGGAAGTTGCAGCAGTCCCCCTGCCTCAGCCTTCGGGAGTGGGGTCAGAGGCTGGCGGCCCCTCGCCCCCAATGAATGAGTCACTCCCTGCAGGTGACTGCTTGGGAAAGTCCCGATTATCACACTGTGGAGGCGATCGATTCTGCGCAGTGCTTCCTTCTGAACAGTCACTGACTGTGCTCTTGTTTCTGTATTGCGCTCACCTAGACTGTGGCCACAGCGTGGACGCCCACGGCAGACAGCGTGACTGTAGAAAGGTGGAGGGCTCCCCCACCGTCAGGTCTCACCTGCATCCCGGAGGCCGGATGCTCAGCATTCCTGATTCCTGCCCACGGGCAGCCAGAGCCCTCTCTGTCAGAAGTTAGTTACTTTGTCAGTGGTCCTGAAAGTTCAGATTTCCGTTTGGTTTTCTTGGACGTGCGGGTGTCTCTTTGTTGGGACACTCTTTACACCTTTTCAAGCCGGGCGGTGGTGGGGCACACCTTTAATTTTCAGAGATAGAGGCAGGCAGATCTCTGTGAGTTCGAGGCCAGCCTGGACTACAGGACAGGCTCCAAAGCTACAGAAAAACTCTGTCTCGGAAAAAAACAAAACAAAAACCCAAAAAACTTTGGTTTCCTAATTACAATACTCTATTCTCTGATAAAAAAAAACATAAGTTTAAGGTGAATGTTATTAATTTTTACATGTTGCCAATGTAGCCAATGAGTGTGTGTGTGTGTGTGTGTGTGTGTGTGTGTGTGTGTGTGTGTGTG